TTTGAATTGCCTTGTGTTGAAATGTGCTATATAAACAAACTTGCCTTGCCTTGCCTAATACAGTTAGGTGAGATTTGTTGACATAATACATTTAATTAAAGTCAACGTTTCAGTTCCTTCAGAGCAGTTCAGTCTTTGTTCTTCAGCCTGGTTGTCAGTCGACAAACTCAGGGTTTCATTTTCTCTTTTAACCTTCCTGTTGTCCTCGGATCAAATTTGACCCGTTTCCAAATATTATGTGGGGATAAAGGGGTTATTTTATATCACTGGATGGTTCCATACATTCTTTGCAAGAAATATGAATGATCACTACTACTATTATATTATGTTTTACTTTTATTTAAACATATCTCATCCCCAGTCTTCCGCGTAAATGATTCACATTGTTTGCCTTTTGTTAACTGAAAAATAAGGTTAGGATTTATTTAAATGAGTTCTAACACTATTTAACACTGGGTGATGATTTATGTTATATTATAAACCAGGCGGACAAAAATTGCACTTGACGGGAAGACAATTAAAAGATATTAGAATTAGAAAGGTAAAATAATGAACATGTGTGCATCAAACCCTGGTCTCTCCAGTGTCATTTGTTTTAACCTGTAAAGACTCCAATTGCTTCTCAACTGTACTGAAGAGTATTGCTACTCTTACTTAAGAAAAGTTACAATACTACAGTAATACTTCCACCTCTGGAGGTTAGGTTCATGCATTCCTAAGTTAATAAATACTACACTAGTGTAACCCTAACCAAACAGCAGCAGGGTACTCAAAGTGTGTTTTTATTCAAGCTATTCTATGCAGTTTGGAGACATCTCATAAGACAATGTTCACATGTCAGCATTGATAAGTACTGTGAGGGCAGAGCTTAAAATAAAGGGCTGACATCACTCTGCTAGCGCTGTATTTTTATTCTGAGGAACAGCAGCTTTTAAAATCCCTGACACTCCAATTCAGAAGCGCTTAATATGTGTGTGTGCAACTCTCTCAATCCTGCTGTGACCTTTCAAAATGCTTGACAAAAAACATTTATAACTCCATAATGCTGTTTGTGATGATCCTTACTCTAAATCTGAAGGTATTTGACACGGCCCTGCACAAGCAAACACACAGAGAAAAAGTATTCTTCTTGCAACCACACACACACACACACACACACACACACACACACACACACACACACACACACACACACACACACACGCACACACACTGCATGTCTCAGCTGGATGCGAGGTCACAAAGCAGTGAGCTGCAGCGCGGTATTGATTAACTCCACTTTTACACTTCAGTGAGAGTCATTGGTTAAACCTAGCGGCAGCACACACACCCAACTCAATACACACACACACACACACACACACACACACACACACACACACACACACACACACACACACACACACACACACACACACACACACACACACACACACACACACACACAGGAGGAAGGATTGTGACAGCCCCAAAACAGCATTTGTGCTGCAATAAATGACATAATACATTTAATTAAAGTCAACGTTTTTTCAGTATAGCGTGGGATGGTGGTGACAGTGGAGGCTGCTAGAGGTTCCTCAGACTTTAACAAACAAGTGATGAATTTAATGAATCATTTTTTAAATAATCCCTCTATTCTAGGTATCCAACCAGGTCCAGCTGGCATCTATTGACTCGATTATATTATTTAATTATTGTTATTTACTGTTTTAGTGGAAGGAAATTATACAAAAGTGGATATTATAATTAATAAAAGCAGTTCATATCGTCTTTTTCCATCATATTCTCAAAATGTGGCCGGTTTGAACGTCAGATATATTAAAAATGTTTCTATGTGTTATTTTATGTTGGTGAATTATGATTAGAAAGGTGATTATTATGATTATTAGTTGCTCTTAGATTACCCAGTTTAAAGTGAGTAGACACACTATAAATGTGTCTTGGAAACATTTCCCTATAGTCTTGGCCAACATTCACCTTATCTCTTTGTATTTTGCTAACCTTTTTGTCAACCTGCCAGCCAATCAGAACTGAGTATTTTCTGCGTAAATGGTACAGTACAGTGATGTATGTACAGTATTAGTGTTTATTTAAAGCTGTTGTTCAAGTAATGGCCAAGTCAGCACACAACTGCTTATAAAGCTCAGGTAAAAAGACGGTATTTATTGTAAAGTGGCAAACAGGCTGAATTCACCATCATGTGAATTTCTACATTACTAATTAAGTCAGTCTATAATCAGTACAACAGCAGTGTTTGGTGTTATGCAATGTTAGATTGATGCCAATGAATCCCTATATTGGATGTCTGGTATGATTGAATTATTCGTATATGCATATCTTATATTTCAGGCTAAGTTAATCATACATATCTTAATGAATTCCCTCTGTATGGCCTTCCTCCTATCCAGCTGCAAATACATGAACACTATTTTTGGAACTAGAGAATGCAATTCCTGAAGAAATTGCTAGTGGGAATGCTTTATGCTGAAAAGCTGACGCTAAACTGCTATGCTGAAATGTAATGTGTAAGAAGAAAGTGAAGAATTTAGATTGAAATGATACATGAACACTGGGGGCTTGAATGTGTGATGAGAGAAGAAAAGAGAGTAAAAAGGCTTGGAAAAGCAGCAGAATATTTGAACTGCAAACCTTTGAACTAACTTGATGGTGAATGATCTGTCGCCATGCCAACGGCATTTGAAGAAATCTCAAAACTGTCCCGTAGATGTCTTCACGGCTGGACTGTTAGCACACATGTGAAGTTTGAGCACTTTTTGAACATTTTCATAGGTGTTATAGCGACATCGTCTTTTATGGCGAGGGATGCGTTTCCATGGAAACGGCATATGGTGAGATCTCAGATTTGGCGTAGAGCTGTTGAGGCATGGACCGATGATATACAAGTGAAGATTGGGGGACGATCGGACCGTGTCCATTGGACTTACAGCGACATCGTGCTTCATGGCGAGTGGTCTGTCGCCATGGCAACGGCATTTGAAGAAATCTCAAAACTGTCCCGTAGATGTCTTCACGGCTGGACTGTTAGCACACATGTGAAGTTTTAGCACTTTTTGAACATTTTCATAGGAGTTATAGCGACATCGTCTTTTATGGCGAGGGATGCGTTTCCATGGAAACGGCATATGGTGAGATCTCAGATTTGGCGTAGAGCTGTTGAGGCATGGACCGGTGATATACAAGTGAAGATTGGGGGACGATCGGACCGTGTCCATTGGACTTACAGCGACATCGTGCTTCATGGCGAGCATTGTGTTGCCATGGCAACGGCATTTGAAGAAATCTCAAAACTGTCTCGTAGATGTCTTCACGGCTGGACTGTTAGCACACATGTGAATTTTGAGCACTTTTTGAACAGAGAGAGAGAGAGAGAGAGAGAGAGAGAGAGAGAGAGAGAGAGAGAGAGAGAGAGAGAGAGAGAGAGAGAGAGAGAGAGAGTTTGTGTGAGAGAGAGAGAGTGTGTGTGTGAGTATGAAATGAACAGTTGGAGTGATGACATCATCATGTTCCATTGCACAGGTGTTTATAGTTGAGCTAACGTGCTATGAAAATATCCAAGGTTTCATTGTTATGAATGAGAGATGAACCTCTTACATGTGAACGTTTTGTGGAAGAACGATAACAGATATCTGTGAAATTTCAAAAGGTGAAACATGTCAAGGAAGTTGAGTATCTGAAGTGTAATTTTTGTGTACTTTCGGGTTAATAATGTGGCCTTTTTGGCAGTTTAAGAAAGGTGTGCGGCTGCTGCTGTGAGGAAATATCTGCCTGAAATTACAATGGGCTTTAATGGAGACATGTTGAACGTTTTTGTCACTTCATGCCCTCAAGAGGCATTTTGTTTAATTATTGTGCTTAATTATTTGTCATTTTTCAAGCTACGAGATGTTTTCCTACGTTTCTCATGAAAAAGTATGTCTCAGGAATGTAGGGTTTGGGAATTATGGCAGTTTTAAAAAAGAATATGAAGGGAAATTTCAAGATTTCCTACCCTCTAGCTGTGACATCACGCACTCTAACTTAACGAGCTGCGCAATGTTAAAGTTCAAATGTTAAAAATGTGATGAATTATGGGATGTATCTCTGGAATTATGAAAGTTATGAATGATAAAAGTAATAGCAGTCGATTCCCGACCGAGCTGAACGTTTTGATGTTTGAACGGAGTTTCTGCGATGTTGAATGTGGGAGGAGAAGACGGACAAAATAATTGGATGGAATAATAAGAATTTTGTCTGTAGCATAACATATAGTTGGAATGCTGTATCAGCATTCCCACTAAACTAGAGTGTACTTAGATTCAGCAGCTTAACAGATATTAACTAATTAACTGTTTTTTTTTGCATTCAACTTGGTACAAAATACAAATCCACTGTTTTCCAGAATCCTTTGTAAAAGTTCCACAATTAATGTCAGTATATTATTAAAGAGGACTTATTATGCTAATTTCCAGGTTGTCCACCCCTTAGCCTATCACTTACAATGTGTTGGCGCACTAGCCAATAGAAGCAAGAGTGTTACATAGTGATGTCACTATGTTACGGAAGTAAGCAAAGGAGGCGTTTAAGGCAGGGGGGAGGAGAGTGTGGGAGAGAAACTCCCTTTGGAGGGAACTTTAAGATTGTAGTCTTTGCAGACCATTTACATACACAGAAACCTATAGAACACTACAGGAAAGGGGAAACCCCAAAAAAGCATAATAGGGCCTCTTTAAGCTTCAAGTAAATTATTAAGCTTCGGGAGACACTGAGCTGCATATGTTTAAAATAATTATACGGCACTGGAATGCTTTTAATGTGAAAGATTTTGAGTAAACTTTCATTGACAGGCTGGTTTCCTGCATTTACTGTAAGGTGAATTAAAGCCCAGTCTATATGATTAGTTCAGCATACATGGACACGTGGTTAATCAGCCCATCCATCAGAAAAAGAGCTGTTCTGTGTAACATCACACAGCACGGGACAGGACAGCCAGGACACAGTACCTCTCCATCACGCTGGCTGCCTCCTGCTCTCTTTTCCGCCTCTTTCTCTCAGCAATGCCTCGGAAAGCCCTGCCAGGACGTCAAATGGTTAAGAACCTAAGCTCTGTCGGAAGCCAAACTGACCCAAAGAGGGAAATAATGCAAAAACACAAAGTATCTGAACACCTTTTTTTTTTTTAAACTAGGCCTGACTGAAATGCCATTACGTTTAGAAAAAAATATTTGATTTAAGCCCTTTGGGTCTGGTTGGGTTCTGGCACAAATATAAAGTTCTAGTTTGGGTGGATGGGGCAACAATTAAGGGGTTCAAGGTGAGGAAGTTAATATCCCAACAAGTCCTCCAACTCATACGACCAAATAGGTTGAGTGTTCAAGCACTTATTACGGCCCAATAGGTCGATTGTTCAAGCGCTTATTACGACCTATAATCACGTTTGAAAGTTTTCGACCTCTAGTGCTCCCGTTGACTGCAAACGCTCCGGTGGGTCGTATTATTCACAAATAACCCTCTCTGGAAAATCCTAAATTGTAGGATAGTTTAGCCATTAAAATGCTTTTTGATTAGATTTCTAGCGAGAAGTGTATATTGTACTTTTAGAATCTACGTCCAATGGATGTGTAGGATCTATAGTTTGATAGATATTAAGAAGATTATTTGAGGTCTCGCCAGGAGAAAAAGTATATACTACGTCTTTCCCCCTATTCATTTCTATTGACGGCAGCGTCCATGTAAAGTTAGCGTCAACCCTCACGGGGTGAAAACAGTATTTCCGGTCTCTAAGTTTTCATAATAAAACCGTATTCCCCTCACTGTCAAATGATTTTACAGTGATATCTGCAGTACTCATCCACTAAAACAAATCAGTTTATCCTTGTTAATTACACAACATTAATTGGTTTAAATTGTGTACAATGCTTTTGTGTTTTTCCCATAGGTTTTTCCCTTTCGATTCTGAGAGACACATTTCTTTTTTCAGAGGTTTTGATAGGCTAAAACAATAACTACCCATAATCATCAGCTATCGTTCAAGCTCGGTGATTGGATGTTTTAGCCGCAATGCACGTTGGGATATGGTGTTTATGCGATATGAAATCCGAAAACATTTAAAAAAAAAGAAAATAATTCTTATTCCGAGTGTGCTTGCTTTTCTCTTTGAAAGTCATCACATAACGGCATTGTAATACACGGTTCGGCTGCATTAAATATTACACATCTGCCGTAGTTCTTTATTTATAGAGCCCTGATTAGAAGACCTTTGGACAAACTGGAAGAACTGCCGCCAAAACTTAATACGTGACGTGGATCATAAATATATCAGCAATCAAACAACATCTTCAATTTCTCTTCACAAAATACGTCTCCTTGTAGTATCAACACTAATTCGGCTGACTTTTATATTTGATCCAATTGGTAGATAGGTTATTTTTACACCATAACAGTGCACAGCTGATAGAAAAGGACTTGCAGTTTTTAAAGATATTACTGATTTTCTTTGAATATAAGAATGTAAATACTGAGTTGAGAGAATAGTCAGGGGATTTGGGTGATGGGAGACACATCTATGGAATCAGAATTTCAATAGCTTACCGTTAAATGACAGATATACCTTTCTGTCTATGATGTTTTACAAATCAGATATTAATGTGTAGAACTACAATATGTGAAATAATATAGCAATATCCTGTAAAATTATGTGAAAACATGAATAAAACTACACATCTTCAGATGTTATACATACATAAGTGTCCTACACTAATAATAAAAAGTTATTATGGCATTGTATGCTGTGTGTTATTTGTAACATATTCAGAAACTACCTTTTCAACTCCTCAGTTGCCTGTCTTTGACTGTTACAGGTGTATACAGGTTCATGATACAATGCCTAAGCCTCAAATAGTCCACATTTTGCTTGGTTATGATAATTACATAAGTCTAGAACTTGAAAAGTAATGGTAAAGTAATAGTTGTATTGCTGAGGTTGAGCCTCCAAAGGGTTCAGTGGAAAGTAACCCTGGGCTAAGGCTGTGTGGAGGAAATTTCAACATGTAAACTTGGTCATAGGAGTAAACACAAAAGATTGTTGGAGAGGTCTCAATCTGGAGAGTAACATCATGTCAGTTTGAAGATTATAAGCAGGTCGTGCTCTCAACTGTTAACCTTTGAACATTGGCTTCAGTGAATTTTTAAGTGCGTGTCATTCTGTTACAGAAGGGACTACATACATGGGACCAATTGTTATAAAACCACTTGACCTAAGCTATATGAATATGCCTAACTGGGTAGAATCACCAAATTGGGGTGCTGTAAAATAGGGAGAAGAATGAAGTTCAGTCATTTAACAGTTAGGCCCTGTGGACCAACGTAGCTATTACACATTTTTTGTGAGACTGGGTTGGGAGCGACAGAGCTGGTCTCGGTTTCTTTCTCTGATAAATAAGATGAGAGGCTTTGTGTTGAAACTGATGAGTTCAGGAGGGTTTCTGAAGATGTGACAAATAAGGTACACAGTACACAGCATACAATGCCATAATAACTTTTTATTTATTTTGGCAATTTTAACCATTCATGGCTGTTATTGCCACGAATGACCAAAAGTGGCACCAAAAACAGTGACCCTTTGGGCAACAGAATGTGTGCCATGACAATTAGTGTAGGACACTTGTGTATGTATAACATCTGAAAATGTGTAGTTTTATTCATGTTTTCACATAATTTTACAGGATATTGCTATATTATTTCCCTTATTTTAGTTCTACACATTAATATCTAATTTGTAAAACATCACAGACAATCACCGAGCTTCAACCATAGCTGAGGATTATGGGTAATTAGATGTTTTCGCCTATCAAAATCTCTGAAGAAAGAAATGTGTCTCTCAGAATCGAAAGGGAAAAACCTATGGGAAAAACACAAAAGCATTGTACACAATTTAAACCAATTAAAAGGATAAACTGATGTTTTTTAGTTGATGAGTACTGCAGATATCACTGTAAAATCATTTGACAGTGAGGGGAATACGGTTTTATTATGAAAACTTCGAGACCGGAAATACTGTTTTCACCCCGTGAGGGTTGACGCTAACTTTGCATGGACGCTGCCGTCAATAGATATGAATAGGGGGAAAGACGTAGTATATACACGTTCTCCTGACGAGACCTCAAATAATCTTCGTAATATCTGTTAGGGAATAATTTGCTTAGGTATTCAACCTTCGACACAGTTCATCATTTTCTCTTCTCACTGTCTCCTTTCCCATGGCATAGTTCTACGGCCTTGGGTATTGCTGCTATCTCTCTTAAGGAGGAGCAGCTTGGGCGCATTGTTGTTGCCAGTCTATGACAGAGCACAAGCCGCCATGACGTAGTTTACTGTTCAGGGACGTAGGTTCCCTGGCGCACATTCTTTCCTATGGACGAGAGCTCTAGTTAGATTCAGGGTCCATAATTGTTTAGTCTCACTGATAAAGAATGTTGATTATTACACTCCGAACTAGTTAAAACCTCGAGCTGCAGAAGAGTTCTTCAGAATTGGTTTGGCAACCGCTGTGTCAACTCGTGACACACCACCTGTCTTGTCAATTCTCCGGCCGTAACTCCAAATAAACCATCAGTGCTTGCCATCAAAGCTCCAGCTCTCCTCGTGTCTCTCTGAGTCCTGTTTCCAATTGCTTCAGAAGTTTCCCCCACAATATCTATTAAATTATAGATCCTACACATCCACTGGACGTAGATTCTAAAAGTACAATATAGACTTCTCACTAGAAATCTAATCAAAAAGCATTTTAATGGCCAAACTATCCTACAATTTAGGATTTTCCAGAGAGGGTTATTTGTGAATATACGACCCACCGGAGCGTTTGCAATCAACGGGAGCATCAGCCCATATGCCGCAAATTGTTGTTTCTTACACGACCACTAGAGGTGCTACACTTTAAAACGTGACTATAGGTCGTAATAAGCTGTTGAACAATCAACCTATTTGGTCGTTTTTTGGAGGAGGACAGGCTGTAATATCCGTACAGGTTAATGAGGGGTTTGGTTAGAGTGAGCAGCACAGGAACCACCAGAGGCAGAAGACATGTGGATATTCTCAAGTACTGTAGCACACACACACACACACACACACACACACACACACACACACACACACACACACACACACACACACACACACACACACACACACACACACACACACACACACACACACACACACACACACACACACACACACACACACTAGGATCACAATGCAAGATAGGGATCTACAGGAACAGACACTGAGGAGTAACCGGGAAACAGACCCTGCATACAGTATATGTTTTCAGTAAACAATATAATCACCAGCATTAGCCAATCAGCTCGTGCTAATTCTGAATGGCTGTCATCTCTGAGTCTTGAGCATCATTACATCTCAGATTGACTTTTCGATCATTACCCGTCATTCTGCCTGTGTGAGCGTTGGTCAGCGTGGGGACAGTAATGGCTCTGACAGGATGTCAGACATAATGAGGATCCTCTCTGACAACCTATGTCACAAAGAAGTGATGTCCTGCAGCCTCGCTCGGACTGACATCGGATTGACAAACCCTGGTCTGAGGTCAGAGGAATCAGTACTGCTTCTTATCCAAAAGCCTCCGTAGCTCTGCCTCTGCAAGTCATCACAATGTTCTATCTCCCTGAAAAACCTGGCCATGTTAGAGGTGACTCTTCCCCTCATCTGCCTATAGGCGCTTTCACACCGGAGTACTTTTACCCGTACTTTTCCCGTTTAGTTCCGTTTTGCGTTCACACCAAAAAGAGAACTTAGTTCAGAGAACTTTTACCCCCATTTTTAGTGCCTGCTAGAGAGGTGGTACTAGCCTGGGGAGAAAAAAGTACCAATTTCTGATTGGCTGGGCGAATTGCAAACCACGCCCCGTAAAACTCTGAAAAGTTTTGTGAAGCCGCCATTGTATTTGCTGGCATTAGCATTATTAGCATTAGCATTAGCCCCACGCACCAACGGAGAGAGAATAACTTATGGCAACCCAAAAAAAAACATGGGAGCGGTGGAGTGATGAGGAGGTGTCGGCGTTCTGGCGATTTACTCGGAAGTCCCCAACTCCGGGGACTTCCGGCCGGGGACTTCGGGTGGCAGTATACGCCGTGAAGTGGTTTGCGGCCTGCCAGTAAACCCAAAGCAGAAGAAGAAGAAGTGACGTCAGCGGCTTCATTTGCGTAATCTTCCCTCAGGGAACTTATTCCGGTGTGAACGCAATCTGTACTTAGTTCCATGGGGGTGCTGGGCACTAAGTACGGCAAAGTACTTGGTGTGAAAGCGGCTATTGCCAGAAACTCCATCTTCCTCATTGGTACCATAAATCAATCCATCAGATATCCCGCCAAATTCGTACAGGAAAAAAAACGGTACTTGGTAAATTGACTTATATCTAAAGTAATGGTTTGGCATTAACCAAATCATAGGGCAGTACTTTTGTGATGTTAACACTGAAATGCTTCCAATTTGTAGCTGTGAAATAATTTTATGAAATCCAACAGAAACGAGTGCCTGCTGATATAGCAGCCATATAACAACCAAGAGTGTTTACATTCATTACAGCTTAGTGAGTTTTCTGGTGACAGCTAACTCAGTAATCACAGCTGCCAGTTCAAACTCCCTTTACTGCTTGAGAATATATTATTTGACATCATATATCTTACATTTTTTAAACTACTTGGATTTAAAATGATTCATGTTTAGATTTATTTATTGGTTATCTGATTCTGGTTGTCTAGTTTGACGGACTCCTCTCTTTTATAATACTAATGCGACACTATTGTGAGATATAGTATGAAAATCTATTGTAACTGGTCCTATTCATCAGCTCCCTGCGTGACTATCTTTAGACGTAAGCACAATGGACGTGGTTTAGCTGGAAGCAATGCTTGTCTTTGACTGATAAGCTTTTCATGATGGTTGCATTAGCTGACAGCTTTAGGTTGACATTGACTGAGTGTCACTGTGAAATATATGGAAGACACTTCAACTGCCTCAATACTGCACTACATTTTGAGGTACTGAATATTATTAGGTAGATTTTATGCTGGTTTATTCTTTGAATCCACTATGTTCTGAATGCAAATGTATGTTTTTTCTCCACTCCATTTATTTGACAGAATAGGGCCTCTTTAAGTATTAAATCTGAGTATTTATTCTACCTCTGTCCCTATGGTATGGTACCGCTTGAACGTAAAACTTCCAACAGTCAGTCCAGCAGACACTGAAGGTCAGGGGGTTAAGCACACAGCAGACTGAATAGCACAAAGCCACATGAGGAAAAGAGTGTAAGATATGTTACCTAACTGACAAACTGAGTGAGGAAGAGCAACAAGGAAGAACAGTGGGGCGGTTGAAATATTTACTCACGATATTCTTTAGTCGTGGTTTGGAAAGCCGCCATGTAGAGAGCATGGGAAGAAGAGAGGAAGAAATGAAAAAATAAGTCAGCAACACAACATATGAAATATTCCACTCACACACCAGAGAGCAAGTGCAAGACACTGCTCGTTCAAGATCTTTAATATAGGCTAGTGCTGGGTCTATATATCAGTCTGTCACTAATAGTGACACGAATAGACATAAACTGATGGACAAAAGGGAGTAAGACAGGAACTTAGCCTGAGAGAAAGAGAGCGTGGGAGAGATGAGAGGATGATCATGGTAGGGAGAGCTTTGTCTCTGTGTGAGGCTCATAATTATCAGATCGGGTGAAAGGTGATAATTAACTAGTCACGATGAGTGGAGCCACTGTGTGTGTGTGTGTGTGTGTGTGTGTGTGTGTGTGTGTGTGTGTGTCTGTCTGTCTGTCGTCTGTCTGTCTGTCTGTCTGTCTGTCTGTCTGTCTGTCTGTCTGTCTGTCTGTCTGTCTGTCTGTCTGTCTGTCTGTCTGTCTGTCTGTCTGTCGTCCGTCCGTCCGTCCGTCCGTCCGTCCGTCCGTGTCTCTTGGTGTATGCATGCAACACAAATTCTCTACCATCTAACGTTGGTCAATCCCTATAGATTCTTGTCCGGAAGTGATGTTTGGATCGTGTCAAAAGTACTTGAAATGTGTTTGAAATATCCATTCAACATCATTGTTTTTATCAGTATGGCAATGCAAAACGTACATATTAATACTGTTTATGTAATATATCAACTTGACCAGTTTTCAATTGAGTTTGAATTTGTTCAGTAAAAATGTAAATGTTCATGTTTGAAACTGCATGTTTTTTACTTTCTGTATTTATAAAACCTAATCAAATGGAACATTAAACTACAAGTGTGTTATAAAGTAATTTAAGTGTCATCTGCCAATGACTTCCATAGCTCAGAGACAAACAAAGGGTTAATGACAGAAGCACTGGCTTCATGGTGAAAGCAACAGTGAAAATGTTTTATAGTAGTAGACTACATTGGATTTGTGGATAGTTGGAAAGAAAATGCTGTGTCAATATCCTGCCAAACCAGTAAGTCATGTGCAGAGTGGGAGTGAAGGCGCAGGTCCAGGCCATACTCACGCCTGCATGGTGGTGGTGGCTGTCTGAAAGCTGAACATGTTCTCTTTGGGGAACCAGCTATTAGGATGTTCCTCTGCAAACACAGAAAACAAAAGCATGGCGTTGTATCAGTGAGTGTTCTATATAATTAGCAGAGGAGGGTAGTAAATGCATGATGACAAGAGACCGGAGAATGGGTGAAATAAACAGTAGCCAACAGGTGCAACATCCCAAAACTCGTCCATTTGGAGAAACACGCTGCCGTTTGAAATAAGGTGCAATATAAATACACAAATGTGTCAAAACACATGCAAATGAAAAAACATCTTCACCAACCTGACAACGCATGCACAGCATTACTAAAAGAGCTGCATAAATGAAACGCTGCAAGAAGTCCAAAACACGACGGAAACCAGGGGACACTAAAAAGTGATGCACTGGTACCGGAACGCTTTTTGCTGTTCGGGGATCATTAAGTTGGCAAACTGTCACAGCTGATGTGCTAGCTAGCTAACCAGCTAACCTAGTCATTTCAAATATACTGACAGAATACTTTTAATTATGAAACAGGTTAACCATTATAATCCCTGAACGTCACCAAGCGCTCCGGTCCCAGGTGTGTGCATCACCTCTGATGCGGCTTTCACACCAGCGCTTTTACCTTTCTTAGCTCCGAGCTAGAGCTTTTCTGGTTCAGCTCCGGTTTCCCTTTTCCGCTCCCCGCTCTGTTCACACCCGCCCAGAGCTTGCCGCTGCTGCGTCATGACGTCACCGTTTACATCGCTGATTTGCTCCCCAACGGCGCTCACAACAACAACGGGGGACTGCGTCGGGTCGATGATCGTGTTGCTTTTAATCATACGAAGCCAGATTAAATTAAATAACGACTTCTCCAACCTATACTTTTCTCCAGAGTGCCATGGTTCATTGTTTATTAATGTGTTTTCAGCGGCATTTACCGACCGTTGCAGTGCTGGCTGCTCTTCCACGGGAGTTTATTTCTCCCGTTAGCTCCGGGTAGCTCACACGGCTCTAAAGTATTCACTGTCTGACTGTCACACAAGCAGCTGATACATATCCCCAGTTCCCCTTAAGTGAATGTGTGTCAGTCTGAATTGACGCTGTTTGGCATCACAACGCTGTTATGAAGTTTCTCTGGTATAAAATGGGTGATGTTAGCATAGCAACCGAAGCTAAACTGGACTACTTGCTATTGCTATCCTATTGTGGCATAGCCTAAGCCGTTTTCTACAGGCACATTTTACCGGCGTATTTTCATTATGATTCTACTTGTGATAGTCGGACATGACAACCTGTGCAGCCCATGTATTGATTCCATCCGATAGCTGCTATAATAAAAAACAAAACGTCTGCCTGCTCTCCACAATGATCAATACACAGCGAACGGATGGTCAAAGTAAGGTACAAATAAACAGAATCACACGAAGCCTGGTTAGTGATGCCTGACTTTATAAAGTGTGGGTTTTTTTATAAGTATGTGGTTGCCTTCTAGTCACTTTGCTCAGCGCTACTTCTTATAGGCAGGCATGACGAGACTCTTCAGTCCGACCCATGTTCAGGGGAGGTGGGTTTAGTTTCCTGCACGCCTCAACGTAAGAGAGACGTAAGCGACGCCGCCTCTTAGCTCCGGAGTCTTGCTTCTAGACCGACAATTTTTTGGAGCTGGAAACAAACTGGATTCCGGAGCTAAGAGGCGGCGCCGCTGCGGTGTGAAGAGGAAAAAACCGGTACTTTTCAGGCTCCAGCTCTGAGCCGGCGCTGAAACGCATTGGTGTGAAAGGGGCATTAGTGTCCCCTGGTTTCTGTTGTGTTTTGAGCTTCTTGCAGCCTTTTTTATTTGCAGCGCATTTGCACCACATCTTAGAAACACACCGTGTTTCACTATTGTATTCAATACAAATTTGAGGTACACACTGAACAAATTTAAACATTAACTTTAATTAAATGTATTATGTCACTACATTTCACATAATTGTATTAGGTTTGCTTTCAACTAACTTAATACAATTATGTGAAATGCGGGTGACATAAAACATTTAATTAAAGTCAATGTTTCAGTTTTATAAGTGCACATGAACCATGAACATTTATCTACCCCGGTCCTCTGTGGAGGCTTGTCCTCGCTGTACATCCTCTCCAGTTTCTTGCGGGACTTCCCTCCCATCCCTCGGTGAGTTATCCAGGTCAAGAGAGCGCTGGCTCTGACACGGAGCCCGAATACAGGCAACGCAGTCTGCGGTGTCGTCCCGCGACCCGCCTCTCCTCATCCCCCAGTCCCGGATGTTGTTGGTGCTCCCCGAGCTATGCAGCGGCTGTGATATTGACGCTGAGCCCCATGCTGCTGGCTAGCATGGTGGTGGTTGCTGCGGTGATAGCTACTACTGTGATGGCTACGCGGGCGGTGGGGGGGGGGGGGGCTGGCTGGCGCAGGACGGGTTGTGGTTGTCAGAGGCAGGGGCCTTCAGCACCTCCAGCTCCAGGCTCTCCACACTGCCACAGCCCCCCAGGGTCATCCCTCCTTCCCTGGTGATTGTGTACACCCTGGCTGGCTTCACCACCACACTCTTCTGCGGGCCTTTGGCACCTGGTGGTTCCTCGGTGGAGAGGCTGCGTTCAGTAGAGAGCCGACGTTTGGAGTGGCACGAAGGCGCTTGAGCTTGGAGGGTGTTGACCTGAGGCTGATGGTGAGCGCTAGGACTGGATTGTCCGCCCTGGTTGGGTTTGGCTTTGGGTAGGCAGTGGCTCTGAGGTGTCAGATTGTTGTTATGTAGGCGGCTGACGGCTGGAGACTCGCAGTCCTGGCTGGGGAAGGTGTCCGACAACAGATGATCTGCACAGGGAGAAAGCAATCTGTCATGGGTAAGTGAGGAAACAGGAGCAACCTAAAACAGAACAGAACTTCCCGATCAAGACAAACAAAGCCAAATCACCTAATGGGAGGAACAAATGCAGGTGTACAGGAAGTCAGGTGATTGCAGGGCTGATGGGGAACAGTGCAACTCATATGGCCATGACAGACAATCAAATATGCGGGAAAACACAGGAAGTACAACAGACATGATAGAGAAAACTTCAAAATAAAACAAGAAACACAAAAAACCAAGGTCACAACAAAACAAAACAACCAATAAATGGTGTTGTCTGTAATTTATACAGATAAATACCCCAAATGTAAATAACAGAGAGGTTGTTTGATGCACCATGGGATTCATAGCTTTGGCAGCAGAGTGGTAAACATTCACGAGCCAGAAAATCTTTGGGAGCATGAGGAAGTGGCCGAGTGAAAGAGAAGAGCAAGATAGAAAATATGAAAGATTTAGAAATGAACTGATTCTGAACAACAAACAGAGCCACTTTGTGGATAAAGGCTCCTTCTCTCAGAGTCATGCCATCTGTGCTGTGAATAAACAAGTCTGGGAAATGCATGTTGTAGAGTGAAACAGGGGTTTGACTCACATAGCAAGGCCAATTATACGTCATTTATCAATAACTTTTTGTATGTTTACTTTTACACTCGATTGCATGGTATCCGACGCTAGCAATCAAATGTGAGGGTAATACTTAATCTGATGAGTTATGATGTTATGACATCTCTAATATAACTGACACTAACAACAGCTAAATGCATTTTCCTGCAGTTTTGTTGGACAGTGGTTTTGGGTTGTCGGAATGGAATGCAAATTTACTCTGCAGTTTCTTGATCATTGTACTTCTACGAGTCAGGCTAAGAACATGTTATAACCAGCCTCCTATGCCAAGGTGTCCTCTAGCAAATGTCCAGTGACCAATAATGTATGATAAGAGGCGGGACCAACTGAGGAGAAGGTTGGCTTCTTTAGATAACAAATACTTCCACATCATGTCGGCTGTACTTGCTGCTGTAGTAGTAACACTATGTTTTTGGTCTTCCTTCACACAAAAAACTGAAATGTAGAATTTATTTGAAAGCAATAATAATAAGTTGAACCTAATGATTTGTATTCAAATGGAATTATATGCTTTCAACTAACCTAATACAGTTATGGGAATTCTCTTGACGTAATACATTTAATTCAAGTCACGTTCCAGTTGTTTCAGTGTTGTGATGTTCAGTTTAATTAATTAAGTGTTTCACCTACCTGCTCCGTTGTGGTTCTCTGGATGGGTGTTGGACAGGTATTCTCAAATGCTCTGGCGGCTCTGTAGAGAAAAAGCAGGTGCAGCAGTTAAACCTGAGACACATTGCACAGATTTCTCACAAAGACTCAAGGTGTTCTCTGCACATAAAACGGTGTCAGCGTTAGTGTTAGTGTGTTCTCAATTTATGCTCTGTACAGTGTGTTCTTATATGCTGACAGGCCAGGGGAAACAGAGCTATAGCTTGCCAGGAAATAAATACAGGCGCGAATACTTTGGCAGGAAAAAGCGAGGAACTGGTGCTCAGACAATCTATGGGGCAGGCTGTCTCAAGTAGAGAGGACTCTTCCATATAAAGATCCTCCTGCTATCACACTATAGCCAGGATTTACTAGGTTTCTTAACCTCTTAAGCCCTGAGCCTGTTTTTCAGGTCTCAGGCTCGAAAATGACATTCCCAGAACAAATGACCATATCTTCTAAAAGGGTTAAACTAATAATCTTTATTCTCAAAGTAATGATAAACCTGTGAGCTGGATGTAGAAAAGTCAGAATCAATATAGATGCTTTTTATTTTAAAGACAATTCAGATTGAACATAGTAAAAAACTGTAAATTATAGTGTCCGTCCAAAAATAATGTTTTACTTATAGTGAAAACTACCCTTGGATGATGGTAAGGTAGACTAAAAGCTTAAGGAATCCAAAGTACAACATATAATAAGTACCCTGTATCAAGATTGATGCAAAACAAGTGACATTTGACCTTTTTAGAGAGGTTTAGCAAAAAAAACTCCACCTCTGAGTGATTTGGGTGGAAATGGGGGGGTTTTACCGCTCTGGAAAACCCATTGGTCGATTGATTGGTGATTGACATCTCTTCTCTGACCGTTAGAGCCATAGAATCGAAGGGGAATTTCCACACACACACAACATGGTAAAAAAAAAGGTGGGGGCTTCGCGCATGCAGTTTGCATCAGAGCGAACCTATCTCTCGCTCTGACATCTGGAAACGGAAAAGCAGTTTTATTTCTTATGGATTATCAGAAATCATTTCAAAGGGACACAGACACATTGGATTAACCTATGGATTAACTTCAGCAGTGTTTTTATCGTTTTAATGCCATTGAAGACCACTTTTTACGACACAGTTAAGCCATGTTAGCGTTTTTAGCTACCTAGCGCCACATGTTTTGATGTTGTTTTGTTTATAAAGTCGCGAGTTCGTATCATAGAGTGATAATGTATGTACCCATCGATTCTGTGTCATCTCACGATCAGATCGATGGGTTGGATGTGCAGAAAGAGTAAATAATAAGGTTTTATGAGTGAGTTTTGGTGCAGTAAATCTGTTAGCATTTTTCGCTCGTTGCTAATTCAGAGGCTCAGCGTTAGCATTGTGGTTTTTTTTTCAATATGGTCTAGCTGCAGCCGCAGCAAGACGGTACACGACACGCCCCCTACACGACGGTACACGACACGCCCCCTACACGACACGCCCACCTGACACGACACAACGGTGGCTGAGAGACGTTGATACCGTACATGGCAGATTAAAAACGAATTGCAAATGTTATTGTAGCATTTTAAGCAACTATTAGGCAAATAAATTAATAACCTAGACTATCCGTTTGAGACACAACAGTATATGACTTTAAGCACAAATTATTTTGTCTAATTAATAAATTAAAACAAAAAGGGGGCTTAGTCAACTTTATTTTTTAGTACATATAAAATAGGTAATAATGAGATCATCTATTAATGTTTGTCTAACTGCTACACATGTATATATACATAAATGTAGATATTTATGAACATCTAAATATAGTTGTTACAGGTTTTAAGATATAAATAATCACATCATGGGGTCATTAAGGTTTCAAACAGGTTCATGTAAGGTAGGCCTACTATAACATGATAACATGAGCCTGTAGTTTGGTATGTTATTGATATGGGCTGGACACCCCTTCACAATGATCATCATTGACTTACTTTAGACCAAATTAGGAGGGCCAGTCAGGCCACTAATGAGCTCAATCATTCACAGTTATTATTATGACTTTATAAATTAAGAGTACTAGGGGTCTATTACAAAACTTTTGCAGGAATCGTCATGCATTCTGAATGTTTCTGTACTTTAAAAACAGGCATCATGGCTCAATATCCTGTTCTTGTTTAAGATTATTCTACTAATTTGTGAATTTAACATCCATATCACTCTTCAAAACTGAAACATTTTTTGTTAAAGCATTGCAGGCCTAAAGCTCCACGTCAGTGACCTATATTTTATTTTCTTCCATCAAACTTTAAAAATGGCAAACAGCATGTTTTAAAGATTTAATCTTTTAAGAAACAAAATATCAACTTTGAACAGAAGGGTTTAAAAACACGTGTTTAATGCAAATAAACTTGAAACATAAACCTATTTGTCATTTCAGAATTCACTTTTATTGCCTGCGTGAAAGGCACAGTAGGCTATGAGCGAATACATATCAACATTCAAAAATTACAAAGTCGTACAATATATACCATGTGCTACTGTCTAGGATTAAGTATGGTGAGACTTTTCAGCCCACGACCCCCAAAATAACAGTGCCAGAGACTGGCGACCCCCGACGGGACAGTGATCTCCAGTGTGCTGGGCAGTGTGGCGGCGGAGGGAGCCGGGGGCACCACCGGAGGAGAGGCGAGCGATGACCGCAGCATCACCGTGGTGCAGATAGGGCAGAACGGGGAGTACCTGGGCACGGCGCGGCTCCCCGCACAGACTTGTTACACGGAGCCCATCACCGGGGAAGCTGCCGGACCGAGAGTTTGATCCTGCCTGCGGCGGGAGAAGGCGGTCTGCTCGGCCTGCCCTTGGCTCTGGGGTCCCTCCTTAAACAAATAAATAAAAACCTTTTAAATGAAACGTTCATCTTAACAGATAAGATTTGATCATTTATTTTAAACGTCAGGCCTACAGCATGGCCACACACCCCATCTAAAAACAGAGGCTCTGTCCTAATTACCTGATTGCATCCACCTGGGTTACTTGGCTCAACCAAATAACTTTATATAAGTTTACTTTAAACCACACTTAAAATAATAATATAATTATAATATGTAGGCCTACATGTCTACAGTATAGCAACTAATAATTGTTTTAAATAAATAAACATTCAAATGTGCAAGACACCTTCAATGAATATTTAAAACTTACAGAAAATCAGATTCTTGTAAAAATTACAGTACATGCATTGTTCCATCTGTCAAGCTAAGATATACATATATCTTAGCTCTTAGCTTGACATGCTCGCTCAGTTAGCATACACATATATTATTTATGTATTCCATTCCTTTAAATTGAATATTTAAAATACAAATTAGCTAAATAAACACAATTACACTGCGCTAAACAGCCAAATCGACAAACAACCGAGAACCTAAATAGTATGTAATTATATCTAAAACCACAAGACATTAATTACCTGAACTCGATGCGCCATATTGTTTGGTGTGTTCTCTGTAAACCTCTATGTATCCTTAAGTATCCTTGCGTCAGCGTATCACGTGTGGGCGCGCTCTCATCTGACCATATTTGGAAGTACAGCTTCCTACAGCTTCCTGCAGGTTCAACCTCCACTGGCTGAGTCTTCATCATGTCTTCACCATGAGCCTGAGTCTTCATCATGTCTTCACCATGAGTCTGAGTCTTCATCATGTCTTCACCATGAGCCTGAGTCTTCATCATGTCTTCACCATGATCCTGAGTCTTCATCATGTCTTCACCATGAGCCTGAGTCTTCATCATGTCTTCACCATGAGCCTGAGTCTTCATCATGTCTTCACCATGAGCCTGAGTCTTCACAAAGATCAGCGCTGATCGCCACACACTAGGGGTGTAACGGTATCCGTATTCGTCCCGTACCGTCACGGTTCGGACGTCACGGTTCGGACGTCACGGTTCGGTGCATGCAGTCACACGACGAATACGCCTTTTTACGAGTGGGAAAAATGTCTGTCATTCAGGGCAGTATCCACTACACTATACCTAATCCAGGGGGCGGTATTGCGCCTAAAAGCTGTTTGCCAGCCGCCCTTAGACAACAAATGAAGAAGAAGAAAACACAACAAAACAAACAAAATACAAGAAGAAGAAAAGTTAGTATTGCGAGTTCAGATAAGACACAGGAGCTAGAAGACCCACCTGCTTCTTTTAAATCAGCTGTGTGGGAACATTTCGTCTTCCCTGTGGACTACAATAACGATGGAGTGCGAGTGGTGGATCGGACGAGGACGGTGTGCCGGCATTGTTCGACAGCGGTGCGGTATGCTAATGGTAACACAAGCCAAACATGCTAAATCATATCAGAAGGCATCACCCAGATTTGGCAATCTCCGGAGCCCGGCAAAAGACAACAGCAGTTCAACAGCTTATCCCCGCTGTTTTTAAGAAGCCAATAGACATGAAAGCCGAGAGTCCAAAATAAATAATGGAAGCTTTTGGCATATGTTTTTCAACGGCTATGCTGCACCCTTATGCAATAGTAGAGGACCCCGGATTTGATTGATTGTGATTGAAACACTATCTTATTATTTATTTTGTAATATTTTCAAGACATTTTTTTTTTGGTTTCACAGCTGGATGACACCTTTTGTTTGACATCAGCTATTATAGATAATATGGCCATCTCAGTGTGTGTGGTACCTTTTGTGGTTTGAACTGTGTAATAAAGTTAATTATTCAAAATGTTAAAGTTCTTTATTTTTAAACTGAAACTTGCACTACTGTTCAAAATAAATAAAAAACAAACCTGGAATTATACATTTGGGACTTTTTTTGCTTTTTCTTGTTGTACCGAACCAGTACCGAACCGTGACCGCCAAACCGAGGTACGTACCGAACCGTGAATTCTGTGAACCGTTACACCCCTACCACACACAGTTAGAGTGACATTATTAGAAGAAGATCATTATTTAAGCTCAGGGTGTCGGACCCAGACTTTGACTGATCCCAGTAGCTGATCGCAGCCAGGCGAAGCTTCATACTCATTTGTTTGTAAGAAGTGACAGGATGCTTACTA